TTTACGTCTCTTGGAGATTCGGACTCATATCAACCAGTGCTTTAATTAGTAACGTTATGACTGAGGTATTCCGGTGTCATCTGACATCCTGTAGGACTTTAAAGACTATGCTATTTAGAAAAAACAACAACAGATTGAGCGAAGAAATATACATTCCTTTTCAATTAGTTCCTCCTCATTGGCTTTATATTAATATAAAGTTTTTTACATCAAAACGGTTTTACCAATCAAGTGGTTATTTTAGTTAATCAGCCTTAGGTATAGGCGGGGAGGGGGTAAAATCAAGAGGTTAAAGGTCATCAAAACAAATAACTAATAGATGTTAGTCATAAGATATCTAAGTTTTAATGGAAAGAGGGGTGAAAATCAATTTATTACGGAATTCAAGATAGGTTGATTCTTAGGCGTTGGCAACAAGTGATCACATAATCAAGAAATTTGTAAAATAGCGCTGATGACTAAGAAGAATAGGATGACTCAGAAGAATTACGTAAAATACAAACAAGTTGATAGAATTGGCTAGAATTGTAAAAATTAACAAAGTCAAAAGATAGTTATCAGGATTTCATCATGAGCTGACATTGGTTAGAGAACCATTGGAAAACCACCTGGGAGTACTGGACAGCCTGCTGTCTCGTCAGCCTAGTTTGAGACTCTTCATCAGTACGCACCCACCACCACTGTTCCAACCCAGGACCTCCTGGTTATATGGCGATCAATCAAATCCCTACAAACCAATACTTGAATATCGATGAGATGCTCACTGGCGACTGGCCCTATTCAGGTAGGTAGTTACCTGGGTTGGTTCTAGTTGGAATTCATGACCAGTAGGGTGCAGCAGATCAGTTGTGAGGACAAATACTCTCCGAAGAGAATGGCTAGCGGTTGCGCTAGATCTTGATTTGGCAGAAGTTGGAAATCATTGGCCATTGGATCGGGTCCCAGTGTCTGATGAATGGTCTCCGAGCTTGCTAGTCTTGTAACCAGAAGGTCCTGGATTGGAACAGTGGTGGTGGGTGCGTATTGATGAAGAGTCCCAAACTAGGACGAAACAGCTATCCACTACTCCCAGGTTTTCCAATGGTTCTCTAACTAATGTCAGCTCATGATGAAATCCTGTAATCAATCAATCAAATTCCTACAAACCAACACTTGAATATCAAAAGATAGTTACAAGGAGAGGGGAAAAAATCGTATATAAAAACTTAATACATATTATGTAGTTGGCCATGGCCCAAAGAAAGGGGCTGTACAAATTTCTTTTGCACTCACACTTAGATTTGGCTTGTTCAGATGAATTCCGATTGCCTCTGCTGTATGTAAAAGTTGCACTTGTAGACCATGCGAGAGGTTGTGTGGTAGACGATAAATAACTTTAAAAGCTTTGTTGGAGTCGATTTGATGTCCAGCCAGTATCGAGGGGATGAGCTAATATTGAGCTGCATATCGAAGTTTTATTCGAACCTTTGCCAAACCAAGATGGGAGGTGTTCAGAAATGCGACGATGAACTTGCCTGATCGTACGCCCTATGTAACTAGCTCCGTGCACTGGCAGTTAAACGGGTAAATACACATGGAAGAGGCGAAACAGGGCAGTCTGTCTTTATTTTCTTGAACTAAGTATTAGTCGGCATAGCTTCACTGTTATTTGTCAACTGAGGAATAACCAGAGTGTCATACTGTCTCTAGTCAGTCATTGGTCCTAACTGAACTCTGTCAGTCAGGATTGCATTGTGGAAACTCCACAGTCTTTCCTATAATTTAACATCAGATTAATATCAATTTCCAACAGTTTTATTAGCCACCAGGTTAGGTGAGCCAGACTAAAGAATCAGCTGGTAGTGTAGCTAAAGCTCAAGTCTTACAGGATAGATGGCTACATAACAATATCGTGTGAGAGTTGAGTTCAGTTGAAGCCGATCGGCAATGAGCTCGAAATCTCTCGAGCCGCCTAACTAACCGTTTTCTTAGCATTAGTAAGCTCGACGTGATTTATGTCGAATCAGCCCTTCATTCAATGCCTGCCATAATATCACATCAATCGTGTTTCCTGCCATCAATTGCATCTCAGTAATCATTTTGGTGAGTCTACTACAGTTGTCGTTTGAGCTACTACTTATTATTCATATCCGATAGAAGTATACAAGCGGATACAGAACAGACTAACAACTCTACCGTGTAGGAACAATGCCACTGCAACTAAAAATTAAAGTTTATCTGAAGAAACCAGACCAACGGGCACGTATACGCCAAGATTGTATGGACTACCTAAAGTGCATAAACCAGGGGTACCGTTAAAACCAATACTTGATTTGCAAAATTCGCCCTACCATGCTCTAGCTAGATGGTTAGTAAATATTCTCAAACCATTGCATGAGAAGATAGTGAAATATAGCGTCAAAGATGTATTTGAATTCGTAGACAAAATAAAAGATATTAATATCAAGGACAAAACCATGATATCTCTGGACATAACATCGTTATTCACAAATGTATATCTAATAGAAACAGTTAATTATATATATGGACAAGCAGTCGATAAACATTGGGATCCATATTGAAATCCTAAAAGAATTGATATTAAGTGTACCATGAATGTAAACTTCAAATTTGACGGCACACTTTACAGACAAGTGGACGGGGTGGCAATGGGCTCCCCACTGGGTCCCATTCTGGCTGATTTCTTTCTAAGTAAGCTAGAAAACGGACCTCTGAACAACCTTATCAGTACGCTCTCATTTTATTACCGATATATGGATGATACCTTTATTCTTTGTGATAATGGTTCTGATAGGAGTACAATAATTACTGAATTCAATGAAGTACATTCGGCTATGAAATTCACATGCGAAGAGGAATCCCAAGACAGAATTGCCTTCCTGGATGTCTTACTTACAAGAAAACCAGACGGTGGCATAAAAAGAAATTTGCATAGGAAAAGCCCTTGGACAGGACAATATACACACTTTCACAGCTTCGTTCCCATCAAATACAAAAGGAATTTGGTGAAGACCCTTAGCCACAGAGTTAGAGCTATATGCTCTGAAGAAGTAATTAAAGATGAATTAAGCATTGTATACGATACTTTGATCGAAAATGGTTATCCTGACAAATTCGTCAAGAAGCATGTGACAAAGAAAACGGAAAAGAACTACTCACTATCTGTAAATAAAAAGCCTTTATATATACGACTACAATTCATGGGCGATATACCAAGCGAGATAATTACGAAGAAATTAAGAAAATCAGTTCAAAGAACTTTTAATGCTGGCAAACTACATGTATTATTCTCTACACGACTGATGGCGCTACCTTGACTGAAAGATGAAGTACCTAGACTAGCCACTTCAAATTGTATCTACCAATTCAACTGCGCTTGTTGTGGAGCGAGTTGTATTGGCCGTCTTTGCTCTAGGAACTTGATTTTTCGTGCTCGAGAACATCTCCCAGTATGGCTAAGTAAATGTGTAGTTAAAACTATTAACAGCTCGATATTAGACCATCTGGTGCAAATCGGTCACAAAGCCAGCGTAGAAGAATCCTTCGCTATAATATACCGAGTGCCTAACAAACTACCAAAATCGTCGAAGCACCGCATGCTCCAAACAGCAGAGGCTATTGCAATTCACCTCAAACAACCAGCGCTCTGTGTTCAAAAGAAACAAGTTCAGCCCCTACTACTGCCCTGGCCCTCAGTAGAGACTATAAACTCATGAATTTGTTCTATTACCTTTCCTAATTCTTCTAACATTCAGTTTATTTGATGTTGATGCTGTTCAGCTGTAATCTATCAATATTATTGATTTGATGTTATTTAAACATTAGTGTCGTTCATAACACTAATTCATTCATTCGCTGTAATGTATATATAATTGTAGAACCTGATGATGAATTTATCGAAAAGAGTACTCTCTGTTCAGTATCCATTCTTTTGAAAAATTAAACAGCTTAAATTCCTAAATTTCACTCGGTACGCAAGGAATGAAACAAAAAAGTATCGGAACTCTTTATCGTTTCTCGATTAAGTACAAAACTGACGATATATATATATATATATATTTACCAATGTATAAATATAATGAGTAATTTCTCTGTCTATTTTGTATGACATCAAGAAAATACGACAGGAATTTAATACTTCTCTTTGTAAATGAAAACGAGAGGTGATCGTTTATGATTAGATTTCATTAACTATTCATTCCCTAACAGTTAGAGAACCAATGGACAGCTGTTTCATCCCAGTATTGGGAATTATCGGCAGTATGTACCCATCGCTAGGGTTCGAACCCAGGACCTTCCAGTGTGGTGAGAGCTGGCTGCCAACAAGCCAAAATTGGTAGACACCAATTCGCACGTCAATGTTTACATCACAAATCTTGGTCATGAAAAAAACAAACAAGATAAAGCCTAACCCTGAGGAGCTCAGCAATCAATCACAGCAGACTTCGCGTGGGTGGATACGATTAGCAGATATATGCTATGACCTTCAAAGAAACGGCCACAAATACATGAGAGAATAACTTTCAGTGAGAAAACAACCAATCAGAAGACTCTGTTTCTTCGCTAATAATAACGAATAATAATGTACATAAAAATCTATAAATATCTGTTGATTTTCTCAATAAACGATCTATTGCCTGGCCCTTGTCTTTCGTCGTTACACCGGTTAAAGGGCTAGCGAGCTTGTAGACCACTCAGCCACTGGGACCCGATTCGGTGAACAGTTCATGAATTCTAACTTCTTTCAACTCCTGGTTTTAGCGCGACCACCAGTGGTTGAGTGGTTTACGAGCTTGCCTTTTAACCGGAAGGTCCTGGGTTCGAACCCCGTTGGTGGGTGCATACTGCCGATGATCCCCAAAACTAGGATGAAATAGCTGTCCAGCACTCCTGGCTGGTTTTCAATGATTCTCTAACTGATATCAATCCGTGGTCAAATTCGAATACCAATTTAACGATTTTTTTCATATATGATATTTGTTTATTTTGTTTTTTTGACAGAAATTTTGGTGATCATGTTTGGTGGATCAGAACCTGGTTGTGGTGCAGGAAAGGTAAACGTTATTAATTTTTAAAAAAAATAGGTAGACTTCTCATTGATTAGAAAAAAGTTGTATGGTTTGTTTCAAACAGTACAATAATTTCATTATCCTGTTTATAGGCGTCGGTGGCAGGGTAGTAGAATGCTCGCCAATCACGTCGCATGTGGTCCCGGGTTCGATCCCCGGCCACCAACGCACTCTTTTACCTCGCTAAGCCAGTAATAAGACTGGTAAAGAGGGTAGGTTGGGCATGAGACTGGCTAGCAACCTCATGCTGCAAAAATAATCACCACTGCTACCGAATCTTCAAAGCTTTAACTTGAAGCCCTTCCTCTGTCCCACGGGGGAACGTATAGGAATGAAGAAAAAAACTAACTGGTGATGTCTGTTCATGAAGCTTTGAAACTAATGAGATTCCCACAGCAACGTAATACCTAAGTGAATAAATAAATAAACGCAATGAGTGGATTCCCTTGTGTTGTATTATTTCTTTCTCTTTATCTGTTGCCTACTGTTTTAGGGAGGTGGTGCGGGTGGGTCGATCCGTGAAGCTGGTGGATCACTCGGTAAAAGAGAGGCTACTCTAGAAGACGAATACTTTCGACGTTTGGTAAATTATGATAATAATAATAATAATACGAATTTGAAAAAATTGGTTTTTTATATTGTAGGATCAACAAAAGATAGAAGCACTTAAAGAAAAATTAGATCAAAACTCTAATCAAGACAAGCAATCACCGGTAAGTAATCGACTTTTCACCTACTTTGCAAAAGGATGAGATTTATGAGATTTCATACTAGTTTGTTTATTAGGTATATCACACAGTGAAACAGTATTATTTACTGGATGACGTTTCGAACACAATTTATTGTTCATTGTAATAATAATATTAATGACGACACAAACAGTAAGGAATCTAAATCATCGTCAGTAATTCCACACAAGGAAGGAACCTTGGAAGCCTTACACAGAATTCTTAACAAGGCGGGAATATAAGTGGCTGGCATTCAAACCCACAAACTCAATTAGAAACAAGCTTTGTCAGTTAAAGAATCCTACCAGTGGAGCCTTTAAAACAAAACAATTTAGTTTATCTAATGCCCTGCCTGCAATGATTGTCAGGTCAAATAAAACAGGTCAAACTAGTAGAACAGGGGCAGTCAGACTAGCTGAGCATAAAAACCCAGCAAAATCTGGATTAGCTGACCCGAATAAGATAAGAAATCTGGAGAACAGTTCGGCAGTAGATAGCACTCACTACATGCAATTACGCACAACCATACAATAGGATGGGATAGGATGACAGTTTTAAAATCTAATGTAACAGCAGGATGGAGGAAGCAGGATTGATAACAGAAGCTTTGTTTATCGAATCAACTGAGAGAGAACACATGTAATAGGAATGATCCAACACCTGTCCACCCGGATATCTGGAAAATTCTACTACCCCGACGACAACGAATAGGAGAGAACAAAGAAAACTGTAAAACTCAAGTCTCAAAGTCGTGTGATTACAATTGATATGATTATGAACAATTTTGTTCGAAACGCCTTCCAGCTGTGTGATATATTTAATAAACAAACTAATATGGAATTACTTACTACCACAGTAGTGCCAAAGTTTTACACATATATTAATATGAGATTTCATACATTTATTCCCAGTTAATGAATTTGAATAAAGCAAGAACAACAGTGGTAGCTCTTGCAGAATAAAAAATGGTACCATCATCGCTTATTTTGTTGGCCTCTTGTCATCAACTCAGCTCAGCTCATCTGCTGCTTACGGGCCAAAGTCATTATTATTATTAAGGATATCTACAGAGGTGAACGTTGGAAGACCATTCAAAATTATCAATAGGCGCAAAAGAGTTCAATTCTTCTCAAGTTTGCCTAAGTGATCTCCATCAAGCGCCTGAAACCTGATTTATGTGTGTGTGTGTGTGGGTTCAGAAAGAAGAAGCAGTTATCATTCTTTCTTTGCCCTGCTGTCTGGTAACTGGATATTTTCACCTTTCTCTTTCATCTGATTATGTAATGATGAAAGTTTCCATTGTTTATGATCAGTATTGTGCGGAATAGTGTTCGAAATTATCATTATTATTTATTATTTCCTTTAATTCCTAGAGGAACATAGGGCTTCAGCCGTGCGTCTCCATTGCGTTCGGTTCTCTGCTAGAGTCGTCACCTGGCTCCAAGTCTGCCCACACGTTTTCATCTCCTCTTCACATGACCTCCTTCAAGTCACCCTTGCACTGACGACCAACTCGCCGCTTCCCTTTCGGCAGGGTTCCACTCGTGCAATGGCTTGTCTAGTGATGTCACTTGATGGTTTGTTTTCTCAGAGTATGGCCAGCCAATCCATCTCCATTTCTTCCTGCCTATTTGTTTCACAATCGGTTCCTGCTGTGTTGGTTCGCTCATTGCCAGAGATCCCTGTTGCTGATCTTTTCTGGCTGGTCATCTGATCTTGAGTAGTATTGAGCGAAGAAAGCTGTTAATGAAGGTCTGTAGTTTGTTTGAGATGCTCTTTATGACGCGCTGGCCAAGTCTCTGATCCGTATAGTGAGTAGCACCGACTTCACATTGGAGTTGAGAATCCGGATGTTATTTTTGATGCTGAGTGTTGTTGACCTCCACACAGATTTGAGAGTAATGTATTATTACTATATACATATCAATATTATTTTATGTATATATTATTACTGTGTGCATATATTGATTGATTGATTTTTGTTTAAAAATGAACTCTGTGCAAGTATGGCGAGCTACCTAGAATGGTGGCCACATCGTCAATGTGACTGATAGAATTCACTCTGCACCGAAGAAAGGACTGGACACGTCACACTGTGACAACGGAAGACAAGAGCCAGGCAACAGATCGTTTATTAAGGAAAATCAACAGATATTTATAGATTTTAATGTACATTATTGTAGATTATTGTTAGTAGAAAATACAGTCTTTTGATTGGTTGTTTCTCACAGAAAGTTAGCCTTGCATCTCTTTGTGGCTGTGTCAAATCATCCATATGCTAACTGTATCCGCCTACTCAAAGCCGTTGTTCTCATTTTCTCATCACCAATATTTGGGACACAAACATTGACGTCAATTACTGTTTTCCAACTTTGGCTAGCAGCCAGCTCTCACCACAACACTAGTTACAAGTGTCCAATCAAAATACCCACTACAGTCCTACAGGAGGTCAATCGCGATCCCGAATAGCTCAGTGGTAAGGTCTCTGACTGCAGCACTGAGTGACGTGGTTTCGAATCTCAGAAGGGACATGAGTTTCAGATACACCTTGCTTACTAGTAAGTGCCAACTAGCATGAAACCTAGGTCATGCAAGGCTTCCTGTGGCCGGTTGCCTCCAACTATCTAAAATCTGTGCAAGTATGTTAAAATTGTTTCTGTAGATATATTTAATAATGACTTTGGCCTGTAAGCAGATAAGCTGAGCTGATGAGAAGAAGCCAACGAAATAAACAATAATGGTACCATTCTATTCTGCACAAGCCGTCACTGTTCTTCTTGCTTTATTCAGATTTTATGAGACATTTAGATAAAGTTTCTAATATTGGAGTAATTTATTTGATGATGGCTGACAATGGGATCCTATTTGGTACTTATCACGTGAATGTATCTACATTATTAGTGAGTGATGGTGTGTTCCCATATGTAAGACTCCATGGCAGTGTTAGTCACTTGAAACGCCAAAACTCTTGTCCAGTGGAATGTTGATCCATAAGTCTCAGATGGAATGATGTCACTACTAATCTGAGAGTAGGTACATTAGATTTCATATGTGTGTAAAACTTGGGCACTACTGTGGTAGTAAGTAATTCCATATTAATTTGTTTATTAGATGTATTACACAGTGAAACAGGTGTATTATTTACTGGATGACGTTTCGAACAAAATTTATTACTGTTCATAATCATTTCATCAATTATAATCACATGACTTCGAAACTTGAGTTTTATAGTTTTCTTTGTTCTCTGACGACATGCATGTCAAACATGCGCAAGATAATGACAACACCAACAATAAGGAATCTAAATCATCATCAGTAATTCCACACAAGGAAGGAACCTTGGAAGCCTTACGCAGAATTCTTAACAAGGCAGGAATAAGAGTGGCTGGCATTCAAACCAACCACAAACTCAATTAGAAACAAACTTTGTCGGTTAAAGGATCAATCCTGAGGAGCCAATTAAACAAAACAATTTAGTTTATCTAATACCCTACCTGTGATGATTGTCAGGTCAAATACATAGGTCAAAGCAGTAGAACAGGGGCAGTCAGACTAGCCGAGCATAAAAACCTAGAAAAATCTCGATTAGTTGACCAGAATAAGATAAGAAATCTGGAGAACAGTTCAGCTATACCACTCACTACATGCAGTTACATACAACCAAACAATATAGGATGGTGGGATAAGATGACAGTTTTAAAATCGAATGTCACAGGGTGGAGGGAGAGATTGATAACAGAAGCTTTGTTTATCGAATCATCTGCAAATACGTGTGATAGGAATGATTCAACACCTGTTCAGTCAGATATCTGGAAAATCCTACTACCCCTACGATGACGACGAATAGGAAAGAATAAAGAAAACTATAAAACTCAAGTTTCGAAGTCGTGTGATTATTATCGATGATATGATTATGTACAGCAATACATTTTGTTCGAAACTGTGTCATCCAGTAAATAATACTGTTTTACTGACTGTGTGATGTATCTATCTAATAAACAAACTAATTTTGAATTGTATTATATTTCATTGAGTTTGTTTCAATATCTTGATGTTGGGTAGACTAATTCCAATCACAATTTAGGTTTTAAAACGAACTTTTGTTGTATTCAGTGACCTTATAGGCTGGTTCACCAACTGAATATGGATATTCACCTGCTTTGATCCCTTACTTGATTTCTTCTCAGAGTACCTAGGGGACAGCTGGTTGAGGTTGCTTAGAAACAACCTCTTTGAGATATAGATTTTTTAGTTACGTCCAATATTAAGATTTTACCACCGGCTGTGATCCGCCATACGGTAAGTTGGAATGTAAACTTGTAGGGGATGCAGTTGACTGATCAAAAGGTTGAGGATATTGTTTCCGAGACTCGCTATGTAGTAGTCAGCTAGGAGTAGACGGAGAGGAGACCCACATAGCTATGCCATATTTCTGTACATCGAATTTTTCATTGAATTACATTACGTAATACATTTTTCGAGGACAAATTTTACCAGTAGTATCCGATTTCTTTGTTAAATATAATTACGACTACTGTATAGGAGCTTATGAAAATGAATGAATCGTCTAGGAGGAAATTTTCTTCGCTGTTTACGTCTTCTCCTTTTCTTATGATTTCATTTCTGTTTTCATAGGAACAATCGAAATAGAATGAACAATGTTGTACTGAAAATAGGAACGATACCTTTTTTCTCCGACAGAAGAACAAGAATATTCACAATCTTCAGCTATCGAGTATTTACCGATTATTGCTTTAATCTACTTATTGAGAAACTCAGGTGCACATATATTTATGTCTTATTTTGTGGTTAAGTATAATTTTCTTCAATACTTTTATTGATTTAATACAGAATTAATGTCAGTCTGTGCTTTTCATTTTCACGAGTTAGCCTGTAAGAATTTGATGGGTTACAGGTTTAATCCTGAGTTGACATCAGTTACAAAATCATTGGAAACAACCAGAGAGCACTGGATAGATGTTTTTTTCCTGTTTCGATATATGCTTTCGTTGGGGGGTTCGAACCCGTGACCCTCAAGTTACAAGGTTAAGCTCGTTGACCAACCAGCCACTCAGGTTGAAATCCATTGGCCTATGAATTCTAACTTTTATTATTATTATTATTGTTCCCTTTAATTCCTAGAGGAACATAGGGCTTCAGCCCTGCGTCTCCATTGCGTTCGGTTCTCTGCTAGAGTCGTCACCTGGCTCCAAGTCTGCCCACACGTTTTCATCTCCTCTTCACATGACCTCCTTCAAGTCACCCTTGCACTGACGACCAACTCGCCGCTTCCCTTTCGGCCAGGTTCCACTCGAGCAATGGCTTGTCTAGTGATGTCACTCACTTGATGGTTTCTTCAGAGTATGGCCAGCCAATCCATCTCCATTTCTTCCTGCCTATTTGTTTCACAATCGGTTCCTGCTGTGTTGGTTCGCTCATTGCCAGAGATCCCTGTTGCTGATCTTTTCTGGCTGGTCATCTGATCTTGAGTAGTTTTGAGTGGAGACAACTGTTAATGAAGGTGTGTAGTTTGTTTGAGATGCTCTTTATGACGCGCTGGCCAAGTCTCTGATCCGTATGGATAGTAGCACTGACTGACTTCACATTGGAGTTGAGAATCCGGATCTTATTTTTGATGGTGAATGCTGTTGACCTCCACACAGACTTGAGAGTAGTGAATGCTTGTCTTGCTTTTCCGCTTCTTGCTTTGATATCCTCGTCAGTTCCGTTGGCCTGTAGTTGAAACGATGCTTCCCAGGTAGATAAAGTAGGTTGTTTCTTTCAGGTTCCTTCCATTTATGCTGATTGTTGTCTTTTGTTGTTGTTGTTGGTGGTGGTGGTGTTGGCCAGGAATTTTCATCACCTCTGTTTTCTCTATGTGCACCTGAAGTCCTATCTTCTCTGGATGCTTCTTCTGCCAACTTGTTGCTTTTCGCTTGCATGTCTTCCAGTTTGTGGGAAATCAGACTTCTATCGATTCTCTCTATTCCATTTGGAACCCGAAAGAATAATAATAATAATAAAGTATTGCATTGCGAAGAAGTCCGAATGAGATGGAATGTGTAATTACAGAGTTAACTACTTATAACTTATATGCACACATATTCCATGGCTTTTAGAAAGACAGTTGTCGTTGGTGTTGTCTTCTTAGTCTATTTGATGCTTCCACACAGTATTCGTTTGACTTATCTGGAATCTTTTAAGGGATGTTGATCAACTTTAATCGGTTTCAAAGATTCTTGACATTCCTTATGTAATGTAGACATTTACATGAGCCATACAATCATTGTTTGAAAGCTGATGACACCATTAATTTTCACTATAGCAAAAATATTCATTCAGACATCTATAAAAAACAAAAAATAATTGAGCAAAGAATATTCTTTTCTATAATTTCCTCTTCTGGCTCTACCATTATACACATATATGTGTTTATATACATAGAATATTCTAGAATAGTAGTCAATAACAATATTAGTGTTTTTTAAATAATATCGATTTGTTAAGTAAGATCACAATGGAATTACCACAGTTCATTAAAGATGCTCAAATTATTATAATAATAATAAAGATATAATAGCAAATAGAATATCAACTAAAATTAAGGAAAATTCCACAAAACTTTCGGGATCATTCAAACCTAGATGGACAAGGTAAGGATAATGTCTGAACGAACTTCTTTTTGGATGCACAAATTAGACTTGGTAATATGGATCCCAACGGCCAGCCTCAGCAATATTTACTAATCGAACTCTTAAGGCGAAATTAAAATTTGTTGGTATGCGGTAAATGACTCTGAAAGCCTGGTTTACATCAATCTTGTGTTCTGTATCCACAAGATGAGATAGAATAGCGCTACGAATAGATTTTGTTTGTCCTTTACCTAACCACGCAGGGTGATGTTCGGAAATCCGACAAGAAATACGCCTTATTGTACGGCATCCCAGGTTGAAATAGTTGGAGTGAGGTTGGAAGCCGGAATTCACTGGATGAAGGTTGAGTGTTTAGTCAATGAGCTTCATCTCCACAGAGTTTTAGTATGTCGGGATATGATTGCTTTCAAATTCGACCAAGGATTGATGATATAAGTTTTGGAGAACCATTGAAAACCAGCAGGGAGTAGTGGACAGCCGGTCGCTTCGTCCCTGCTTGAAACTCTTCACCAGTATACATTCATGATCCCACTGGCGACCGGACCTAGAAACTTCAGGTTACAAGGCTGATTTGTTCACCATTCAACCGCCGGCGTAGAATCCAGTAATTCATCAGTTCTAACTCCCGTTGACTCGTGATTCTTAGCACCATCAATAACAGCCAATATCATGGGCAAGTATTGTGGTGAGAGCTGGCTGCTAGCCAAAAATTGGTAGACAGTAATTAACATCAGTGTTTACGTCCACAATATTGGTTGAGAAAAGCACAAGAACAAAGACTGACTCAACAACCAATCACAGCAGACTTTATTTGCGTAGGCGGATACGATTCGCAGATAGATAATCTGAACTTCAAGAAACGGTCACAAAGAGATGAAAGATTAACGTTCAGCTAGAAGACAACTAATCAGAAGACTGTGTTTGTTTACTTACAATAATCTATAATAATATACATGAAAAGCTATAAATATGTGTTGTTTTTCCGTAATAAATGATCTGTTGTCTGGCCCTTGTCGTCTGTTGTTACAGTATTTCTCCTCACACTCGACCTGGTGGACGCCGCTGATAACGACTTTTCACTAGAACTCCAGTCAACTTCGCCGTGTAGTCAGTCACTAGTTGTGAACATTAGATTGATTATCAAGTGTTAGTTTGTAGGGATTTGATGTGCTTGAATTTTGATCCCGGATTGTTTTGGTGCAGTTGTGATCTCTGAGCTGGATGGTTCTCTTGCTAAGCTTTCATTGCCTCACTCCCAGCTGACAAAGGAAGAACCACAGTAATCATGGAAAAAAAGACGAATCCACAAAGAAAACTGAAGAACTACTCAAAGATGAGGATTTATGTCAGCGACTCACAGCAAATCCTATACAAACATTGGGCAACCGCATTCAAAGGACCTTAAACAGGCTCACCAAAACAGGTTAGATCACAAAGGAAGACCAATGGTGAATGAAATCCAATGGACCAGTCCTACCCCGATTCTACGTCAGACCCAAAATACACAAACTGAACGTCATGTTACGACCAATTGTATTACTGCCAGGGACCCCAACACACGATCTATTCAGAGGACTATACAGAAAATTGAAGCACTTAACGGATTCTTACGATCACTCCATCAAATCTGCTATCCAGTTTCTAGAGAAAATCAAAGATATTAAATTGATGATCCTTCGATTTCACAGCATTATGTACCTCAATCAGACAAAAACTAGTAAAGGAGACTATGGAACAATTACTCAGCAACGACAAACACCTCCCATAACAATCAGAAATGCAACATACAAGTTGGATGGAATGCATAAACCTATGCCAGACGATATAGTTCCATTCTAACAGCCAAATATATGAACAAGTTAAAGGAACACACATGGGATCGCCCATATCAGCTTTGATTGCAGAAGCAGTGATGCAAAGACTCAAATTCAAAATTTGGATACGTTACGTAGATGACACATTCGTAATAATCAAAAGAAACGAGTTGGATAAAACTCTAAACTTAATAAACAACGTTTTCAACGACATCAAATTCACAAGAGAAGAGGAATCCGAGAACAAACCACAGAAGGAAATTATAAACTCAAGTTTATAGAAAATCAACTAACATAGACCAAATATTCAATTACAACAGCAACAATCCAATAACAGACAAAGGCGGTTGTATACAAACACTATTTAAAGAGACCAGCCAGGACTTATTGCAGCACTCCCACTTTAAGGAAAATTGAAGAAAGATTTCTCATGGACGTCTTTCAAAAGAATGGATATCCAATGAAATTCATCAAAAGGCTTATACCTACAAGCCAACCTACTAAATCAAAGGCCCCAACGAAAGCACAAAGAAAATTGCCCCACCATATACAAAAGACATCTCAGAAATCAATGCAAGACTCTTCAAACCTTTAGAAATTTACGTCACACACAAACCAACAAAATCACTTCACTCAGCCACCCAGCCAACCCTATGTCAACCAAAAGATTCAACAGTGAAAGAAGATGAAACCAACATCATCTACAGAATAAGTTGCAACTACTGAGAAAAACACTACATTGGTCAAAGTGGACGCTTTGTATCCATGATCATAAACTAGCTGTCAAAAAACATGAAATCCACTCCCTCGCTCATATCACTCACTGCATACAGACAACCACGGACAGCAATTCGACTGGAACAACCAACGTTCAAATATTAGACAGTGGAAACACCAAGAATGCTTGAGAATTTTTAGAAGCCTGCGTGATATTCCATTCCAGTGAATCATCAATCAATAGACACAATGATATAGATAAAATTTATCAATCGATATGAAGGAAATCTCATACAAAGAGTTAAACTTCAACTCAAGGAAACAATCAACACCAATTCAAGTAGCCTAGAGGGTGCGAAAACACACAAAACACAACTAATCACGACGTTGTTCAAGATCACACACACCAGGAGAGAAAACTAATAAACTCGTGGAGAAATGTAAAAACTCACTTCATCAAATTGAAATATGCACTGAAGATGTTGCCTAGATGGAAGAGCAATGAAAGCTTCGCAAGTATAAACCATCCAACTCAGAGAAGACGCCTACATCAAAATCATCTACCTGAGGTACAAATCTTCTCCATCATATTATTATTATTGTTATGCGTTCCGGGCTTTTCGAGTGGAACAGAAGCCTTCAGATGTACATCATCACTCCACTCCGTCCTC